TTTTTTTTTTTTTTTTTTTTGGGGGAATTTTTGGGGGGCGGGGACCCAATTAATTGGTTTTCCATAATTTCTTATGGGAAAAATTCGGGAGTCCGGAACGGATTAAGTTCGAGAACCGAGGTACCACTGTATCAGCATGCCAAGCATCAGGAAAGGTTGAGCGTAATAAATCTGTTCAGTCTGTCGCCGCCTTATGGAAGATCTGGGTCAGGGCATGAGTGGCCTGTCTCAAATGTATCGACCTGAGGCTAACAGAATCCCGCTGCTTGTCTCACCTCTTTGAACTTCTCTGCAAACTTCCCAAACTTCTCAATCATCTCCGCGACAAAGATGACGTCCATCTTGTCGGAGAAGTTGCCGGCCTCCGCGGTGTAGGCCAGCAGCTGCCGGGCTGTGGTCCCAGCGTTCGTCAGGTTCAGGGGCAGCTGGCGGGACGGCCGATGAGATGGGAGGCATGAGGAAAAGCAGCCGCGGAAGAGAGATCCCAAAACGGCACTGAGTGTCGCGTCACTGATTTCCACACCAAGAAAAGGCCTGACGATGACTAATCAAAGTCTACCAGGAGGAGGGGAACAGGCTTACAGCTCTCCAGTCCTGAAGCAAGGACCATTACACAGCTGTCAGAACCTGACAACATGCGATGCTGGAGTCTTCAAATTAATGACCATGGCACCCATTGTCTCAGTGACATCCCAGGGATTGTGGCAGCACCCCTACCTGGTTGATGATGTAGAGGACGCGGGTGACGTCCTTCTGGTATTGGCAACGGGAGTAATCATCCTCCGCCCAAAATCCACGTCGGTCGCAAGTGCGCCATGCTTGCTGGTCCCTTGCCGATGAGCCCGTGTAAAGGCCCGCTCCGGGAGCCAGGTGTGGGCAGGGGAGGTGCATGGTGAGCCCAGCCAGGGTGCGGGGCCACCTGACAAAAAGAAGGCGGGAACTTATGGCATCAGCTAACACTTCACTGGAATCAGCAGACTGCAATGGCAAGTCACTGGAATCAGCAGACTGCAATGGCAAGTCACTGGAATCAGNAGACTGCAATGGCAAGTCACTGGAATCAGCAGACTGCAATGGCAAGTCACTGGAATCAGCATTACTGGGGTTATTGCACTGATGCCATTTTTATTCTTTATTTTTTATTCTATTTAAGCTTTTTTTTTTTTTTTACTCTTCTTAAATATCCCAGCCAACCAACTCAATATAGCAAAATTTTACAGCTATGGCATTTTAAATTCAGCCACTCGGGGGTGCCATAGAGCCAAGAATCTCTCACGCTAGCAGACTCAAGGGGAATTTGAGAAAAACAAACAGCAGCTGAATGACACTGAAAGCCATTACCTGGAAAATGTGGCCAAATACAACAGACAGAATGCGGGTGGCATTTAGCCAAGGGATCAACATGGTTTGCAAATCAAACTATACAGGAACCAATAACTATCACTCAAGAGGAGTCGCCTGGAATACTGGAGGCTGTCATTCTTTTTGGATTTATGACATTTTAATCAAACCTGTAACCAAACACCAAGTGTAAAAAACACCAGGACTGTAGTCACAGTGTCAGTGACCAAAGGCGCAGATGTCTCACCGAAACTCCCCCTTGTTGTTGGACACAGTCTCCACGGAGCAGTATTTGGCGGCACTCTCCAGCACCACGATGGGGACAGTGCGGGTGTTATTCCCACGGCTGGTCCTCACCCGACACTCCCAGGTCCCCGTGGAACCCGGCTGGATGTTGGAGATGGTCAGCATGCTGCCAGGACAGGTGGATGGAGAGAGACCCACAGGTTCAAACAGAACTAGGACAGAAGGTTTTGGCTGCTTTAATGCTTGAGCAGCAATGAGACTGGTTACCTGGTAATGAGCGTACAGTTGTGGACCACGCTCCTCTGGATGAAGATGCCCATGGAGGCGTTGGGTTCTACCATCTTGCCATCCTGGTACCACAGTACCTGCATGTCCTGGTCGATGTACGAGGCCAGGCAGTGGAAGGGCAGGCTGTCACCACGGAAGACAAGCTGCCGCTGGGACGGATTCATCTGGAAAGACGGCAGTTCCAGTGGGGAGTCTGCAAGCCAGGAGTCAAGATCACATGACAAAGGTCAGCCAAGGCCAAGAGGTCAGGGGTCACTCAAGATCACATGACAAAGGTCAGCCAAGGCCAACACCAATCAAAGGCTATAACAGAACCATTAACCCCTTTGGACTTCCACATTGTAATAGAGACAGAAAGAATTCCTTCTGTACTAATCACAAAACACGTTTAAAGTGAAATTAAAATTCAGAATTATAAATACTTCTAAAATAAAAAGCATTAATTCCAACACACCGAATGTAAATAACTGGTTTCAAAAGGCTTTAGACAAAGACTAAAACATTAACTTGTGCGTGATCGTTATGGATTACAGCAGATTAAATACCCCAGTCCCAGGTTCAGTGAGTAAATTTCTAAACAAAAGCCCAAGGAAGATTTGAGGTAAATCCAGGATAAGGATCTTAAAACCAAATCAAAGGAAGATAAGAAATTTCCAAAGACATAAAATAGCCTCCAGAGCAGAGTTAAGTCCATCATAAAGAAATGGAAAGAATGAGTCTGACAGGCTGTGCTTGATTCCTGTATCCTCAGGATCCACGTGTAAAGGGCATCTGTTACGAAGACCACAAAGGGGTTTATGGAAGACTAACTCCCTTGTGAAGGAGACGGGACACACGAATCACGGGACATAATACCCCAGGTACATCATAAATTGAGGTATTATTGTGGGGGGGGGTCCAGAAAATATGGGGAAAATTAGCCCTTAGATAGTTTATCAGAAGGCATAACGGAAACAGATGAAGTGGAAGATAATTCATCCATGGTCTGAATGGTGGCAACACGAAATTATGGGAATGCTCTTCAGCGTCAGGGACTAGAAAGCTGCCGTAAAAATGGCCAAACAGCTGGTGAAGGATACTGGGAAAGGATACTGCTGCAGCATAGTAAGAACGGTGGGGTGGGGGGGTGGGGGGATTTAAAGAAGATTAATCTTCCACCAGATGAATAATGGCCCCAAGCAAATAGCAGAAGTCACAGAAGGAAAAGTCCAGGTGCGGCCAATCAGAGCCCCAAGCTCGATCAATTCATAACCTCCAGCAAGAACTGAGGATGGTTGTTTTTTGGTGCAATCTCTCAACTTCAAACCGGAGAGAGCGCCAGCATCATCGGAAAGAATATTCCTGTTAATAAACCTGCTCATCGGGCAGAGATCTGAAGTTGTAATCGGTACCCATAAGGTCATATTGATTTAGAAATGAAATCATGAATATCTGCAGAGTCACATTTTATTAATTTAGAAAATTTGTTTCCCACTTACCTGTTAAACTACTTTGCGGAACTCACACATACTAATAAATTCTAAATTGTACAATTCACTATAAAATGTAAAAACGAAAATTGCAGGAAGGCAACTAGTTTTACCGCCACTGTGGAAGCCAATAGACTAAATGTTTCAGAATCAGAATCCGTTTTATTTGCCGAGTACATATAGTATGAGTAAGTTGGTGCGGGTAGTAGCATGAGTATGCAATTTAAAACACATCATGAAGAGAGAAATACAGAAAACAATGAACAGAATGGACAAACATACATATGTAGACATAAATAAGGGTAAGAAAACCAGACACTGGGTAAACAGTCTGGTGTATGTGTGTAAATAAGCCTAAAGCCAAGTCAATACCGCCCAGCACTATTTGCAGTGACGAAGAAGAAAGGGTTTGCGAGTTTGCCTGACCACCTGTATGTGCAGTAAGTAAATGATTATATTTGGTGATGATCAGAGTGTAACGACTCTGGGGACGGCATGAAACGGATTGGACCGAGCCTCTGGCGTGTGACGATCAGTCAGAACAAAGTGAACTGGACCAAGGGCATGGTACCGGTCCCCAGGGGGTTACTGTGACTGACACGGGACATCGGCCGACTGATACTGGACATACCACAGGTAAGGAGGTCGGGTTTGAGCGAGTCCAGCGCCTGTCCCTGCAGGGAGCGCGGGTACGCGCACCGTGTGTCCAAGGAAGCCACGCCCCTCTCCTTCAACCAGCGCAGCAGCCAGCGCAGGTTGCAGTCGCACAGCAGGTACGGCGTCTGGAACTCCCTGCGGGGGTTAGCGGCAGGACAGACGGCTCAGCACAGGGCGATGACACCACAGCCTCAAAAACAGTCACACTTTGCACACTGCACTTCTCATTCATCTTATATTTTTCATATATTTAACATTTTGCATTATCTTCTGTTTCAGCCGTTTAATTTATATTCCAGGGCTCTTGAAATCTGGCCCTCCATTCCAAATCCAGGCCTTGTTTTCTGCTCTCCCAGGTAGTTAGTTTAATAATTACTGATTCTGATTGGCTGGAGGATTCACATTCAGCTCACGGGTAAAGGAGGGCTGGAAAATCAGCAGGGCTCAGCCCTTGACGACTGATTTGAATAGCCTTGTTAAATTTATTCCAAGAAACATACCTCAACACTATGCAGCTGTATATCTACTTTGATGTTTGTGAGTGCCTTTGTCTTGTTTTGTGCTGTCTAATCTGGTCGGATGTTACACACAGCCAACTTGATAGTGCAGGTAAGAACTGAACTGATGTACGAAGGGCAACAATAGAATCTTGAATCGTGGAGCGTTCCCACCCCAACCAAGTGAAAGATGCCATACTCACAGCGCCTTCAGGGAGACAAGGCCGTTGAAGGTTCCTGGCGATAGAGACGAGAACAGGTTCCCTGAGAGATACCTGCGAAAATGGGTTAGGGTCGTTACAGACACGCGCGATCTGGGAAGAGAGAGAGTGAGAGAAAGAGAGAGAGAGAGGCCAGACCGAACAGCGGGACCCATCAGCGAAGAAGTGGCCCAGACAGGGGACCACGAAGCCCACAGATTATAACCATAAAGAGAAGAAAAATTACTTACAGTCTGGTCAGACTTGGGAGGCCTTTAAATATATCTTCATTCAGACAGCCTATACGGTTATTGGACAAGTCTCTGTAAGTAAAGATGGAAGACAAGGGCCGCCGTTACGTGCAGTTCAATAATGGAGACATAATACATCAGGACGTCGCTGGCCGCGGCACTGGGGCACACCGAGGGTGACATCTTAACTTACTCTGACAGACTCCTAAGCACACACAGCTGGGCTTAACGGCACATTTGTGAAGAGAGCCCGTGGCGTGGGAATCGGCACGTCGGCCAGCGACGGAACGCACCTTTTTAACCGAAAACCACACGTCTAGACGCCAAGGTCAGCCCCAGGAAGAGAAGAGGCCCTGCTTTCGGGAGCTGTGGTTAGCTAAAATAAGAGCTAAATTCCATAAGGCCTCCCCTTCCCAGTCAACGAAATCCCAAATTCACAGCTAATTCGAGGAGTCGGACTGACGGCGATTGTTTTCCTTGGTGCACTGCGCTGGCAGCCTGCTCGTATCGATGAGGGGGGGGGGGACACTCCGAGGTGGGGACAGACTTGATTTACGTCAGGGACATCAAAGCCTTTTCTTCACGAGCTTTGAAATCGGGGGAGGATTGTTTAACTACGGCCCCCACCTGCGAATAAAGGTGTGCCTGGCGTTCACTTTAGAAGCTCTAGAGTGTGGATTCAGAAGACTTGGGGAGGGGGGGGGGCAGGAAAATACCCCCTGGCTTACTGGCTTAAAGGTCCTTTTCCAAGATGTTAGAAAAATTCCCTTTACTGGTTTCAGGTCTGCTTCTCGGATCACTGCAGAACCCAGGAGAAAAGGGTGGGCACAAGTGCAAGATCCTTAGAGTCCTCTTTCATCCGGCGGAAGTGCTTGAAGCATGTCAGATGCCTTCACCTGCTTCCCTTCTCATGGCTCCCCCCAGACAACACACACACACACAGGCCTTCATTACGGCCTTTGGCTGCTCATCCACTTCCTCTCACCTGCCAGAGATAAATGCCACCCACCCAGCCTTAACTAAGACGGATCTACATAACTGGGGGTGAGATGGTCTTAGATGGTGGTGGTGGGGGGGAGGGGGGCTTAGATTCGCTGCAGATATGCAGCGCGGGGTTGCCAGATTTGTCAGAAAGCCTGCAAAAAGGGAGGTGTTTATGACAGATTGACCACAGATTAATAATTAAAGGGGGACGTACAATAATAACCAGCACCCCACTTTCTTTGAGGACAGGGATGGCAATGAACCCCACAAACTAGACATACATTGAGCAGGCCAAGGGCTTTGCCCCATGTGACAAGCACACAGCAGGTGGTTGACCCCTGAGCTGCTAATTCGGATGTGCGTGACACCCTACCTAGCAACCACCAGCTCGATACGTGCATTCAACAGCCGCCGTAATTCAGTAAGACAGAGTTCCGCCAAACCTTTCAAAAGCAGGACAACCAGAGCTAACGGACAGATTAAGTCCAATTATGCAACGCAGACAAGGTTTCAAAAGGGCTGATCCTATTTGCATGGACCAGAAATCTCCACTTCTAACGAAGAGTAAACCCAGTCAGGCTGTACAGGGTGGACACTCCTAGCTGGCCGATTCACCGTCACTCCGATCGTTAGTGATTGCCGAAGTTACAACAACAGAAACCAATTTTTATACACAGCAGCACACAAGGGTTTCTCCTCTTCGGGAAGCACGTGGCTTAAACTCTCTCAGGGCCTGACAGGAGATGATCACCTTGCTCCCACCACAAAACAATATCTACAGAAAGCAGACCTCCATCTCTCTCTCATGGGAGACTGCTCAGGAAGTCTGCAAAAAAAAAAAAAAAAAAAAAACATCTGGCGCCTCAAAGAGCAAACAAACTGCACAGCTGAAAAATCGACAGACATCTTCATTCCGCGGGAGGAGCAGGACTGCGACTTGAGAGCAGAGCGCCACAAAAATATTAATGGGGAGCCGGCGGCCAGGTTCATCCAGGGGGTTAGGCCGACGGCGAGTACTTACAGCCTTTTGAGGGCCGTGAGCCCCAGGAATGCTCCGGGCTCGATGTGGCTGATGACGTTGTTCCGGATGTCCCTGTCAAACAAAGACAGCACGAGTCACGACCCACTCTCAGCCAGACGGCAAAGCCGGCGTCGACCTCACACGCACGGCTGCATGGCGACATCTATCTTCACCGTGCACATCGCAAAGTCACTACAAAAGCAGGAGATAATTCTGGGGATTATGGGCTGTAATTACAGCCACACTGTCGCATCCTTCCCAAATGTTAAATTCATCCCTTATCCGGGCAACACAGAACTTTTGATGCGGATAGGAGATCTCCCCACCGGAACGTCAGAAAGCTGCAGTTTCTCGCAAAACGGAATCCATTGTGTTTCAGTTTTACTGCCAGTTGTTTCTCCTGGCCCCACACTTCAGATTTGATTCACTTATCTGTCCAAAATTTCAAATAACATTTCAATAAATTTTCACAAAAAAAAATTATTTTCCAACTCTTTTTGCCAAGCTAATCCTTGTTGTTATTCTTCGAGAAGTGCACTGATATTCAGCATAAAAATTTTGCGGCATTCTTCCAATAAAATTCTGGGCCCAATTTCTCGAGAACAGTCACTCTCAGCATCTTACGAAGACTCTAAAGATGTGTTTTATGAAAGGCATTTGTTTTTCTACGTACGTTTCTCGAACGATCTTTTACAAGGTTGCTCAGAGGAGAGCTTCTTAAGTGTGACCTTAATAGGCGTAAGAACTCCCGATTGGTCGACATCGATGGCTTGAGAATTCATTACTCCCTCCATGCAGTGACTGCTTGAGTGCCGCATGAAAGAAAAAGTGGTGTTCTTTATAAATGCTACACTGCAGGAACGGCATAAATCAAAACTGGGGAGAAGCTAAAAATAAAATACAAAATTAACAACTTGAATCATATAATCGTAAATATGATTTTCGCTGATTGGGTGCACAAACCCGGCTCCCCAGATTGCAGTATCACCAGGTTGTTTTTATTTGTTTTATAAAACACCCGCATGCACCAGTATGTGTGCATGTCCTTGATATCAGGACAAGCTATAGCAGAATAGCTGAAAGAAAAGTTGCACTACTGCCTTAACAGAGAGAGAATGTCCCACATGCTTCAGTATTGCTACGAAGGATTATTATTGGGGGCCTTTTGGGGGAAAATATATATGACTTACATGTAAATGAACCTGCAGTGTCGACTCATCACGCTCATGAACCACATGGTTATACTGTGACTCCGGCACATTTAGAGAGGTGTGTGCATCCCAGGGGCGTCAAATTGGGGGAAACACGTCCACCTCAATGTCAGCAGAACCTCCGCCCCCCCTTCCTAATTAATAAATAAACACATAATCAACAGGGCGTTCCTTGTCTTTCATTATGAATCTGAGCGTTACTGAGGCCAATTTGCTGCACATTCAGAGCCCAAGGACGAAACCTAATGATTGTAGTCGTGTATCAGACAAAATCATTTTATCATATGGACCAGTTATTTTTTAGTTAAGTGATGTTTGGTTATGAAACTGTAGCCTTAACAATGTTAGTTTTATTTTAAATGAGCAGTATGAGCCGATAATAGCGATGAGAGACAGCTGGAGGCTAGAACTTATGAAGGATATAGCATTAAGGAGGTTTTGAGAAACCGGGCCCAGGTCAAATTCACCTTCAAAATCTCATCGAAGGCCACAAAAACCCCACTAACATATGCCAAAAAAGGCGGGAAAACAGACGTTTTTCAGGAAATTCATGGCGAAATGCCTCAATAAATAGCAGAAACATAGAGAGGTCCACACCCACCGGGACAGGGGGTACCCCAATACATTTTTTGAGTCCTTCACTTGACATGAAAATTAAAAAGACGTGTGACATTAGCCTGCCAGTACTAATGTCACACGTCTGAGAACCAAAGTAGCAGGGATGTACTGACCCATCAGGGACAGCTGGACACAGAGCTGAGGCCCCCTACAGGCCAAGCAGACTCTTTGCATGCAGATGCACGGCGGCCTGCAGCTGCGGCAGGGAGACGCAGATAAAAAGGGGGCCCGGGGCAGGTTCCGTTAGCGGGAGGTGCTCAATCAAAGGCACAAGCAGGACATCTTTATAAATCAATAACACACCTGCTGCAGCGGCATGCTTAATTAGGCTCCCGGAAAGAACCCCCCCCCAAGTGACCGAGCAAATCTCATTCATTCATTTAATTTAATCCCTTTGGTTTAAATCAGAGGGGGGGGGGGGAAATAATAAAATAAATTCACAGGAAGCAAAAGGGGTTAGTATTGTCACCATCACGGCCTACCTCAGCCTACACAGCTGTACACATATTACCCGCCATAATTAATACTGGCTCAGTTACTCTATGCTTATTAAACGCTGGTGTCCTTGACAGAGTTCTGTTATGAAAAATGCATTGTGATCAATGTGGCCTCGTGTCCTTCATGCTTCTCAGCATTGCCCCCCCCCCCCCAGGCCACCTCCACCCTGGGAAAGACCAGGGTTGCAGATCGTCAAAGGAAATTCTGCTAAAGACAGGGTATCGACAGATCACCAAACACACCCCACCCCCCCCAATGCCCCACATATCCGGGGGGGAAATCTGCACCTGTCCCACCCAGAGCGAGGGGGGAGTGAGCCACCATCGACGGCCAAGGGCTCCCCTTCCAGGGGATTTCAGAAGACATTGACGTGGATGACAGACAGCCAGAGACACAGGAGAAACCGGAGAGGAATTCCTGTTCAAAGCAGTACAATTAGCTAAAACATGCAGGCAGGAGGATGTGGGGGGGGGTTGTCACACTTAAACAACCCCCCCCAGCTCAAACAGATTTCAGTCCGAACACCCAACCGAACTTAAAAAAGAAAATAAAACATTATACAACTGATTCAGAATCTCAGGGTTAAAACGCCAAGGAACTCCAATCAGCAGACGACGGACACGGTACTTCTGTGTTTCTGTCCACCTCAGAGTCTAGAGGTGGAAGTGCCCGTCACCGAGAGTCATTCCCCAAATCTCATTCTGAAGACCAGAGAAATTCACTCAACTCCATAAATCATACTTTGTTTTAGATACTAAAGGCGCAGGGAAGCTTTCGGGAAGAGGGCAGCCAAATCTCTTTTCCATTACAGGTGCCGGCCCACGTGACGGGATGCTTTTAGAGAAACGCTTTTCGCAGCGGACTTCTTGCCGGGAGAAAGAAAAAAAAAAAAAAAACTCCAATAACAGATGCTTCCCTGAGCTGTACACGGCTGTCCCCCACTATAAAATCACCTGGCCCTGACAAACTCAACATAGCTCGCATGCAAGTATATTTCAGCTTAGAGCAGCAGATAAGGGGGTAAAAGTGAGGCTTTCGCTTAGGGCGCCGAGTGAGACAGCGCACGGTAATTACACTCTTTTGAAACTGTAAGCGTGATTTTACGGATGCGTCTCCCGCGTTTGGGCGGGGGGGGGGGGGGGGGGGGGCGGCTGTTGCCGAGTCGTGGCCCTCAAAGCGACCCAAGTAGGTGGACAAAAGCCAGGAGGGCAGCCCCAAGATTCCGGGCACCCCCTCGCTGGCGCCCCATTCAGGCCGACAGCGGCGCTGCGAGGAGCGCAGGAGGTCACGCATTCCCGATTAGCGAGACGCACGGAATCTCAAGCTCTGAGGAAAGATGCTGGACTTCAATGTGACAAAGGTGCCCAATTTCCACAGCTGCGGCATATTTTGGCGATGGGGGCATGCCGGGGAGGGGTGTCACCCTGCTGGAATTGGTTTCCTTGGCGGCCAGTTGGAAGCAGGCCGGGGGCAGCGGTGTGTAGAGTAACGGGGCCAAGAGGCCCAGAGTGAACGCGGCAGGAAGGCCAGCATGCTTCGGCGATGGGGGAGGGTGTGACTAACTACCACAAAAAGGCATGGAGCCCCCTCAAGCCGAAATCTCCACAGGAACTCCCCTTTAACCAGAACCCGGACGCGGGGTTTACTGCAGGGAGAGCCGGGAAAACTCAGCACCCTCAAACTGCTCTTCTGAAGGGTTGGATCAAAGCCGCTTAATGCCTCAAACTAGAAGAAAGATCATTTATTCCATTGTCGTCCCCCTGCCTCCTCTTTCGAGAATGAAAGAACGCTGACAGCGACGCCAAGCTGATACATTACCGCTGCGTCGTCGTTGTCGGATACCTGCGCTGAAAGACAAACTGAAGTGCCCCCCCCCCATCTCAATACACTAACATGCAGCTGAAAGTGATGACAGGGAGAAAAAGGCACAGGAGAGGAGGAGGATGGGGGGGGGGGGACTGAGTCTGGGCCACAGAACCGGTTCGTTTAGAGTGGCCAAACAGCCACGGAAAGGGTGCAAAATCTCCAAGCTCAAGACGGATGGAAACCGTGATGCGAGACGACGACGCGGAAAACCGCCCATGGCATCCAACGTCAACGCCCTCACCTCTTATACGAACTAGGGCCTCACAAGTAATCCTCAACAAAAAAAACCCGCAATCTTCATTCACACCTCTATGTGATCTCATTTCTAAATTACATTTCATCTGCATTGTATTACATCAGCCAGATCAAAACAAGCACTCCAACTTTTCCCCCAGAGTGTGTCAAGCGTCCCACAATTCTACATTCTCTTTAGAAGGTGCCTCTCCACCGTACCAAGTACCTTACTTGGTACGGTGCTTAAAGGTGTTGGTTTTCCACTGGCGTAAAAACTGGCACTGGCACTGAATGACATCACAACACGAGGTGGGGTATTTTGTACCGAATTCGAAAAATGGCTGTAGTATATTAGAGGACGTGTGATATTAATACCAACATTACATGTTATACACATGCAATCCTTACTTCACCAGTCAACAGAAAGGCCTTTTCATACCTTCAATTTGGTACGGACATTGTAGAGCAGGGAGTTTAGTTTAGAGCCAGAGGGGAAAAAAAACACTATGTTTTGCAATTTTAATTATTCCTTTTCAAGATTATCTAGTATATGTTTAAAAATCAGTTTAAATTTAGTTTACCTCCGCTGCTTTTGCATGAGTACTGAACGCATTCTCCGAGAATTTTCATCCTTGCCGTTTTTACCCTAGACGAGTTTGGAGGAATTTGTGTTGAACTCCTTTTTTCTTTTATCAATACCCCAATATTTATTACAACAAAATCACATTGCAATACTTAGAAATTTTCCAATACGGTGCTGTCCTAGTGTACTATACAAAATACTTTTTCTTTTTATGCTATTCCACCTCTGATCTTCCGGCCAAACCACAGCTATAGCTTGGGTCACTTCATTTATCCACATATCCATTATTTATTTTTACTGCATTTGTTGTTTTCCGAGTTCACAACTTTTGTTCAAGACAGTGGTTGTATTGCATTTCAGAGGCAGGCTATTTGCATAACTGATTGACAAAGAAAGCATTACAAGTCCCGCCCAAAGTACCAAAAAAGTACCCAGAATCCCACTGGTACTTTTGGTACTGGAACTTTTGGTACAGCTGGTTTGGTTACCTTAACTGAATGGCCAACTGAACGTTTCCTTTCTGTTGTCAGAAACTGATATGCCGGATCTGGATCAATCATGTTTGGCACAATCATGTTTTATCATGTTTCCTTTTGCAATTTAATGAGTGCAATAAATGTTTAAATCTGAGGAAAAAAATTGTTAGAGAATAGCTCTCTCAATTCCAGTATTGGATTGGTATTGTGCAGCTCTAATACCAATCCAATTCGACCAAAAGCAAGCCTCTATCAGCCAGGAAGTCAACTGTAAATCACTGTAAATCAACCAAGCAAGCACACTGCTGGAACACGTGCGTCTGTGTTTCTCTTAACTCCTGTGGGGAAACCAACCAATATTATTCTCAACACTGTAGCCAGAAATCCTGCTATGGAGCAGGAACAGTCACCGCTTTCACAGCCCCAGAGAGCCTCTGCTTTGTGCATTTTTAATGCGTTTCACACACGTGGTCACATGCACGCATGGGACTCAGGCCATGCGACGCATTCTAAACCATGGCGTGTCTGGGAAGGAGAGCTAACCTGCAGGACGAAGGCTCTGCCAACTTCCCTCTCTGCAGCACGGAGAGCATTAGTGAATATTACCCTGCTAAAATGAAACTGGGCACCCCATAAAACAAAATAACGCCAGCTCAAATTAAAAGGACCGGATTATTTACTTTACAGGTTTATAACACTTAGCTAGTCTGAAAAATATTTTCTAAAAGGTTTAAGTCTCCTAATTGCATCATTGAAATCCAGTATAAACAATCATAAACATCTTTCCAAAGATGTAAAATTACAGTTTGCCACGGCAGTCTTGAATTGTGTGGTATCCTAAGGGAAAAACCGAAATGAAGTCTTCTGCTTTGGACCAGAGAAGTCCCATAACAGCCTCCATTACCCAACGCTCCAGAGGAGAAGGAGATACATTCAAGCTACTGGCGAGAAAAACTATTTCAGCATGCCAGTCCACATCAGTCTTGATCCCTTCAAAAATACCCAACTTTCATACATCTCTTTTATTCCATAGGTGATGTTACATGGGCTCACAGCAGCAAGTGCAGTTAACCCTCTCAATACTCTCCACCACACGAAAATCCCTTCCTAAAAAAACGGCATTCGACACGCCCTGGATCCTTCAAAAGCATCAAGGCTCAGACTAGATTAGCCTCAATTAAACCAGATTAGATGCGACTAATCTGTTCCACGGCTGGCAGAAGCAAGATTTCTACTTCCTTCCCAGCAGTGAAAGCATCTCATGGCACCAGATATTCAAAACGCCATCCTTAGCCAGTCAGTCTAGCTAAAGGAACAATTATATTTGCAGCCCAGTATCAGTATCAGCCACGGTCACCATCCTGATGCAAGCAGGCATCACTCACAGTTTCTCCAACGTCGACAGTCCGGCGAAGGAGCCATTCTTCAGTTCCTGGATTTTGTTGTTGCTTAAAATCCTGTAATGGGGCAAAAAAATGGAAACAACGTGAATGTCGAGATTTTGCAGTGATGTGACATTACCTTTTTTTCCCCCAGACAGAGTACAAGTACCGATGTTCACATTCGGGTACTCACCGATTCCGATACCATTTATTTGTTTATTTAAAATTAAAAAATAAATTAGGTTAACGACTATCAAAATAACCCCCCCTATAATGACGCATTGTCTGACACCCTATCTATGTGCACGGCACCCACAGGTGAGGCTGGCAGAACAAGTACAACTCGCTTGCTCCCAAGATTCTACGCCAATCTGTGTCGCACCTGCAGCAGTCTCATAGCTAATATCTCCGATTCCCATCGCGGGACCCAATCCGACCACTATCACACCCGATGCCGGAGCGGGGGCCTCTGTCTGCACGCAGGCGGCCCAGCGCCGTTATTTCCAGCATTCCTGACGGTCCCCATCCGGCCCCTTCCGCCAGCGAGGAATGTGCAGGAGGCCTCCGTAAGCCTGTAATTGTCTCGCTCGCTGCTCCAGGTACTTCCCGTTCCCGGAGGGAGCTGCCCGCTCCCCATGTCTACCTTCGGCGGGCTTGTTCCGGCATCCACGGCACAGCCGAGCACGAGTCGCTGCACCTCCATGAAAACGTTAAATATCTATACTAGAACAGCACAAGCAGGGATGTTAAGCTTCACATAGCAGTCAGCAGGAGTCTGCTTAGACGTCTCTACACGGCTGTGAAATACCCTCTGATTAATAAGTAGTATTTGTACACCAGGCTCGTCTCTGAGGGCCCGATAAGGCTGGTCGGGGAAGCGTACTGCAGACCGACTGTCCCAAAAGGTAAAACTGCAGCTCTGAATTTGGCCACAATTCCATGCGTGTCCCAGCATGCTAGCCACCACTACATAACAGCTGAAAGGCAGCCAACAGAGGAGTTCAAAGGTCTTCAAGCTCCCGATTGTGTTCAGGTAAAGTGGAACATGCGCTTTTAACACACGGAACAAGGCATTCAAAGCCAAATTTCCAACCCCAAATAACTTTGACTTGATCTTGGTGAAAACGAGCCAGTTAAATATTATTATTAATATAAGAAACTGGATTCTTATTCTAACCTATATTTTCCTGGCACACAGAATAAGCAAAGTATTTTAAGACCCAGAAAAAGAAAACAAGCAAATTTTTAGTTCTGGGAAAAGTACTTTGATGGCGGACGGCCGCAGCGTTTGTGCTGCCTAAATAACCGTTTTAATTAGGATACAAGCTCATGTAAACCTTCATGATCTTACACATCCATGCAGCTGGATTCCAGCACGCATCTGCGGGCCTGAAACGGAGCGTGACGCAGGAGGCCCGCAGCAGGTCAGGAAGAGCCGACCGGAGCCTCACACGCATTAGCATGCAGAAAGGGGGGGGGGGGGCTCCAAATCATGGAGCAGCAGCTAAGGACCCCCAAACCCCCCCGGCCCCTTGGACACGCGCACGCACACATACAGCAGCCTGGCACGAATACACTCACAGAGCAGCTCCCATTTGACTCTAATCACAAATGACATCCTCAAAAAACAGCTTTGTCTGCTTCTGAGCCCCCGAGCCGCTCGAACCAGCAGCCAGCTGTTACTCAACCCATCTAGTCTCCCCCTCACAGCACCCCCTCCCAAGACAGGCCGGCTCGGACTTTACGGCCAGCTAACAGGCGGGGGTTTCCTTGCCTGGGTGGCACAGCGGTGCCGGAAGGCTCTGACTGGACAGATGACACATAAATCACCGACATACAAAGGTAACCGTAATGTATGGTGTATAGGGTAGGATAGGATTTTTAAAAGCCAAAAGCATTCGAAGGCTGAAATAAATTATTTAAATTATCAATAATTCCATACCCCCCCACCCCCATAGAGACAGACCTTCACCACATAGAGTGGAAAGCCTCAGCTCATGCTGCAGTCCAAATCCCTTGGAACGGGACAACTTTCAGTGTGCTATTAAAAGGCTGCACAAACAAACATGCGGTCATGTGACACCGGGGCTGCCAAAGTAAAGCAGCCCCACCAACGCGGTGTGACCGTGGCGTAACCCCAGACACCCAGGAACCCGGCGGGGCGGTCACGGGGGCGGGGGGAGGACAGAGGCAGAGTGCTTTAAGAATAAGGGCAGCGTTTACAGCGCGTCGCACGCTGGGAGGGGCGTCTCCACATCCATAGGGTTAGATGGGTATCTAGAGGGTATGGGTGTATATCTCAATTAATAAAACCAAAATGTCGCCGGGTCATTGTGAGATCATTGGCTCTGCTGCTCAGCCTCCCAGCAGGAGAGTATGGCACTCGTTTCAGCCAAGCGGCCCGAGAGGCAGTCTGGGTGATGTCCCACTCGGCGCCGCTGCCGGTAAACAGCTTCCCTCTTTCCCCCCTTTCCTGGGGGGGGGTGCCTCAGAACGGAAGGGAGGGGCAGCCACAGCCGGCTGGGAAACACGCACTGTGGTCAGGGGGGGGGGGGGGGGAACGCGAGGCCTCCGAGGGCCGTAAACAAACAGAACGCCTCCTCGCACTCGGCCGTCCGAACCAAGAGGCGGCGCACACATAAGGTACCTGAAACACGCACATCACGACTGCATTGGCACCAGGAGGCCCGTAGCGTGCCAGGCAGGAGGCGGGTGAGCCAGGGGCCATGTGACACACTCACACTCAGCCGGGGCCAAATCAGAACTCCCTCTGCAAAGCTGCACCATCCTCCTCATAGTGGCACCAAGGCAGGCACCCAGAGGACATCCTACCCGGCTGCAGTTTAAGCAGAAACTGCAGGAAAGTTTTAACAAGACTCCTGAGTGTTGTGTCGGCCTCAGTCACGGTGTGGATCGAGAGCTTGGCAGGCGGGATTATTTAACCCAAGTCTTTGCATGCCATGTTAGAGCTGCAGTCCATAGTTAGATGCCAAATTTATATTCCCATTTTCTGCAGATCTCGGTTCCACATAATCTGCGTTCTTGGGACACATTCAAACTGCTCTGGCATCACAGACATGGAGTTCCACGAACCACAGCAACAGTTTGTTTAGTTTCTGAGAATTCTTCCCCCCCTCTTTGTCCAAAAACTAAGCTGTGACCACCATGAACGCAAGCTTACTGAGGCAAGACCGCTGGAATCGGGGGAGGGGGGGGGGGTCTGAGCACTTTACAGACTGTTGCTATTTCAGCACCGGGCCCCAGTTTGCGAGATGGGAGATGAACGAACCCAGAACCACGAGGGGCCCCAATGTCAGGACCCACAGGAATCGGCCCGGTGCTTCTGGACACTCATGGAGCTCAAAGGAGATGTAGAGAGAGAGAAGGAACAGAGATACAGCAGAGCTGCCGGCGAGCACCTGGAAGACAGGAACTCCGCTGCAGGACGAGGGAATTCAAACAGGCAAAGAGGTGGGGGTGTAAGAGGCTTGGTGGGGTTCAGTTTGGAGGGGCACTAAAAGGGGAGGAGCCAGGCAGGATTGCATGCATCTTAAAGGGTCTTAATGAAGCACTTCTTGTCCTTAAAGTCGTACTGTGTCCTTGCTTTGTTTTATCAGTTGTCTAGCCCTTTACTCCAGTACTGCTTACACATGAACCTGGGCATTTATCAGAAGCTCAGCCTAGCTGCACTTATGCCTAGTCAACTACTCAACAGGTATGTTCATATGATCATTTGTGGCATAATTACATCCGACATAAGTGCCCACTAAACAAAAGTCCCGATCACCCCCGGCCCCTAAATATTGGGGTCCTGTTCTGATTAGGATTAAATTCAAAACCCAAGTCTATCAGGACGATGCATTGCTTGAGCAGATGCTGTAGGGGGCATCCAGAAAACAATCAGGGTTAGTTATTTTAACAAAAGACCCCGCAAAAGGCTTACCGGGGCTGACGGTTAGCATCCCACCAACGGCTAAAGGCCCTCCTTCCAAACCCCCCAGCCCAGTGCTGATGCAGGGTGTTGCTGTTGCTCGGCAACAGTTTCCATGCCACTCTCACCACAGAGGGAACAGGACACAGAAAAACAAACTGCGCCCTGATGACAGGCGCACCTGACAGTATGGAAGTAGCGCGGACGACTATGTCTACCAGCAAGAGATGAATTACCGTAATTACTGTAGTATAGCTACTATAAATCAGAGCCCTTCTCTGATACATCGTGCATTTCACTTCTTTGAAATGCAGGGGCCCCTCAACTTACAATGGAGTTAGGTTCTGATGAACCCATCGTAAGTGGAAAATATCGCAAGTCGAATATGAAAATATGATATATAGGGAATAAATAACTACAGTCACTAAATAAGTAATGATTGCAACTAAACACTAGCAATCAAACACAGAAGGGAAAATCACACAAAATGTAGGATAGGCCTATGTCATTAAGCCGTATGAAATGTTTACTCTTGTGATCGCTACGGAAACTACATGCTGCCACCCACCAGCATCAGCAGAAAGTATCGTGAACCACATCGCTAGGCCGGCAACAGATGAAAATTTAAAAATCGACTACTTAATGTGCATCACTATGACACCGTCGTAAAGCAAGGAGCATCTATGGACTCTTCCTTTTATTTGCAAAAATGTCTATCTTGCTCGCAAATATAAACTTAAATTTCATATGTTATATACAGTACATTAATATTTTACTTTTAAAGATTGAATGTTATCAGACAACTTTGAAGGATTGTTTTACGAGGTGACCTCACCATGTCATGGAAGTAAGGGCTGGAATTCCAATGAGGCGTTTCAGGCAGATTAGAGAACATTGGTTTCTGTGGTTCTCTTTGACGTGTACTGTGAGACTTTGCAGAGCATTTACATGCGTATATGGCTATATAACACAATAAAGGAATTGGAAAAACCAGAAAAGTGTAACAGGGCCCATAAAGTCCAGTGTTACGTATGTAGGTAAATGAACACTTTTCGTTACAACACTTTTTATTGCACACCAGCACTAGACATTCAGCAGAACATCCCAGGCTGTGTGCTAGTGTCGACTAAGTCTTCTACATCTTTTGGGACCGCGAATGACCTGAACCGTGAGTGTTCATGAGTAAGCCGAACCCAAACCATGCACCAGGAGGAAATCCCTCCCCCTTCTCACACCTAGGACGAGCCCCAGGGAAGAGGAGAGACCCACAGGCTACCACAGCCCCTGCACAGCCCCTGCACATTTCTGAGTCTGGAGACAAGACAAATGAGAATCCTAGAGGAGTACAGGAATGTTCCGGCTAATTGGACCTTTGAGACACCTGAGCCACTTACAAACAGAACAGTTTAGAGTGGTCTTTGGGGAACAATCATCCAGAATAGCTATTTAATCAAAACCACGGTGCAGAACTTTATCAGCGGTTAAAGGCTCCCTCACAGGGCCATCGAAACACTGCCAGCTGCTTTAAATGTCCCTGCTATGGGTGACATTTAGGCAAAAAAAAAAAAAAAAAAAAACCTACTGCTTTTATTATAAGCCAGAAGCCATAAGTGTCCAAACCAAGCCACATCAGTGCTTAAAGTAGTCCTACAATTCACTACCAGCCCTCCTACTAAAAGCCCAACTAAGATAATATGGTATAGATGACATCATCGTCAACTTTTAAAGACGGAAAGGAATGAAAAAATATGCCGGGAACATTATGATGCAAACCGGAGGGAGAGATTTTGGGGATGTCCAAATCGGCAGTCTGTAGGCTCCGGGTCATTAACAACAATACCAGCAACGCAAGTGATTAAATACCGATTATTAGTGCAACACTGCCATCGGTATGAAAAAATAAGACGGCAAATCAATTAAAAGCCCTTTCGTCAATATATTTTATAGAACATGCTACTGCTGATATTGACCAGTTGAAGTTCGTGGTAATTTTTTATAAAATCTCGTTTATATGAATCTCATCAGTCAGCAAAAGTTTGCCCTGAACCACAGAAGATACAAGGTAGAGGTGACATCTCACACACTCCACCGTGGTTAATACTCACCACGCAGGACACAAACAGGACCATCTATGTCCCGTCAGCATCTACTTGATTAACATCCACCTTTTAAACGAAGGATTGGCATGAGATGACAGAGGACTTACAGCCAGAGAGCGACACGGGCGGATATCTACACCAACCC